TAAGCAGAAGTATGAAACAGGGTTAAGGGTATAAGTAAGTACTAAATTTTAGTGAGATGCAGTCTATGCACCGTTATAGATTTATTATAGTGTAGTATAAAAAATTACATTATTTTTGTAAACAATTGTAACGAATCACGAAATGTAACGCTACAAACATAAGTAATAGTTAATACTAAAAAGTGAACCACCTATTTGAAAAACGACGTGAGTCCATAAAAGGTAATTCTGTAAGAAAACTGTTTTTACGCTACCAGTGATACATGGTTATTTGATATTTCCCTTTCATATTGATTATTTACAATACTAAATTTTTTTTTTTGCAAATGTTCATACGTGATCCGTCTATCATTTGATAACACATTTCACTCAATATCTCAATTTGTGATATTTTGTGACTTACGAGTACGTCGTTTGACTCGTTTCTTAAATAGGTGATTCAATTAATAATGCTTACTGGGCATATTTAAGTCATAAATACATACATAATCTTGTATTGTAATTTGAGTGATTATAAACTCACTAAGCTTAATATTATAAAAGAGGTACACTAATACTTATACACCATGTCAATTGTCAAGTTCGATAATCGATAGACCTAGCTGGTTAATAACATCAAACATACTGGATATAGACAACTCCGGAGTCCAAATAACTAATATGTACGTAAGCATAAGTCTTTAAGTTTTAATTTGTTATACAACTGTATATTGTTTAATTTTGACTATGTGAAATATTAAATATATTAATTAGAACATATCATTTGAACTTTATTTACTTAAGCTTCCTGACTACGATAGAAATCATAACTTAAATGGACCTAAACCCTAAATATAACTACAGTGAATAAAAATAAAAATAGTGTTGTTGCGGTGTTGTACTCGTACATAGAAGATAATAACGCATATTAAACATTAAGATTACCCCTATAGCTACAATGGAATATTGTTGGGTAACTGTTTAAATAGTTGTTGCAACTTAAAAAAATGTTAATTAGATATATAACAGGTTCCCCAACATCGTTACAAATAATAATGTATTATATAGAGGTATAAGTTAATTCATAATTAAAACGATATTCTTACGAGTATAATCTGGTTCCTAAGCTACAAATGAAACTTGTGATCCCGAGGCTTTCTAAAAATTGAGCATAAATCGGCAATATTTTTTTATGAGCGATTGATGTTAGAATTTTGACGAATCACTAAAATTATTTTTAAGTTAAAAATTCTCAAAATGTTTAATATTCATACCTTACATTCGAACATTTATTACAAGGTTCTTCATAAGTTTGTTATTTGGTAATGGAACAATAAAGTTAGAATAATTCTATAAATATTTTTTATGAACTTCTGAAGTTAAAATGTTGAAGTAATTGAATATTTACCCGTAAAATAACGATTACTCATCAAAGTTTTAATCATTTTGTTGTAATTCAAAAACAAATTACCGTCTTTGAAAATTTCACCAAATATTAATTTAATAGTTGTATATACATGGCATAATTTTCAAAATATTTTGACTCTTTTTGAGCCATTTGACACATTTTTGAATTTTATTTCTAAATGTTGATAAAAAAAAATGAGCCAACATTTTTAGGAAGCAACATTTTTAATTGATATTTGTAATAGCATCCAAAATACACGCAATATTAAGCACACCATTTACTGCGATAAAACCATTAATTCATAACGAAATATAACGAACATATTTTAAATTGACCATAAATATTATATTTTGTAATACCAATATTCAAATGTGCAACAAACTCAAACAATAATTTTTCCCATATTTAAAAGATAAAACATTATAAATACAATACTTGAAAAATTCAATTTAAACACTCATATCAATTTGAATGCATAATAAATATTAATTAAAAATAATAATAGGAACGACAGGATAATAATATAACGTATTTATCATATGTAGCTTTCAGAATAACGGTTTACAAAAATATCCACATGTAATTTGTTTTAACAATATTCTTCAATATTGTTATTGCATTCATCAAAATTATTTATAAAATCGTCAGTATTCAACAATTTTGCTTCAGACACTATAGGAATTCATATAGCATAGCAATAATTATGCTAGAGCCAGATGATTATTGAGGACCATAGAATTATATTTTAAATTTCTCAAGTACATACATTTTTATCCTCTTCATACAATCATACGCGAAGCAGAAGAAACAGCCAACAGGTATTTTAATTGCAATAGTAACTATACAGTAGGTACTGTACAATATAGCTTTATTTTCTCTGGCATTTAGACGCAGATAAAACGCGTCTATTAATGAGGCTTGAATACATACATTTCAACCAGATTAAAACGATGTTTACATACGTTACAATACACATATTATCATACAATATTTTTTTATTCTTTTAAGTCATGACTCATGAGACAATTTTCAATGACCTACTCTGATTTATTTTAAAACTACATACGAATTTAATGAATTCTACAGCTACATTACACTTTAAAGTGAACCCGGGGCTTCCCCCGGGCTTATATAGTTATAACTTAATATTTTGCACAGACAAATTTTATCATTGTACCTATGTATATAATATGTAACCGAATATACAGTAATTTTATGATAGGTAATAATTAATAGTAGGTATATGTACCGCGGAGAGACGTTTAAAGCTATGAACCCTATTATGCATTTATTATAAATATTTAATACCAATATAATATAATATTCAGAGTTAGAACACTGCCATTAGCAATTCTCTCATTTATAAATCAAAGGACGAAAAAATAAATTAAATTCTGTTTATCGGCAACGGATAACGATACTAGTTAATATGCCCTCGTTAAGAAAAAAAATATAAATGCCTACCTACCTATTGTCTATAATCTATAGATGTACATGCACATGTCTCGTATATCGAATTGCGTCCGTGAGAGAATCGCTTACGCAACACGAATACATGTATAGATATATTATACATAGTATATTGTATACATTACTGCAGGGACGCATTTAAAATATTATTATAATAAGCAAACGGTTATAAACAACACGCGGCTTTCGTAATTATTATACCGTGGTTCGTGTGTGTGTGTGTGTGTATGAATCGGATATACGATGCAGGGGAGATCGGGCGAGAGGTTTTAATGAACGAATTAGCATTTCCGGTCGCTGCGAGGAGGACGGGGTTGAACGAAGACGATGTACACGACGACGCGGACGAGTGACGGAGACGCTCCTCGATTGCAACGTCTATTATCACGATTGTTATTATTATTACCATTATGATAATATTCGTTATTATTTATATAGTGCACGCGCATATACGACAATAATTATACAGCAGGCTGTTAATGGGAAAACGGAGGCGGCACGTCGGTCGCCGACACACGCACATCGCAGCAGTTTTTGCACAAGACCAACTGTTGATGCGACAGTCCCTTCTACCCCCCCCCCCCCCAAATCGTGTGTCTAGGGTGTAAAAATTTCATAACGGGTCGTCTAAACAAAAGGTGGTCGACCGCCGTACGTGTATAATGTACGTGCATAATATTAATATATTACATGTAGAGCATTTGATACACCTATATTATATTTATATATATCGTATATCGTATACCTCAGCTGCAGTGCGCGAGATGGAGATGTGGGTCACACGCGTGTACCGTCTATAATATAATAATTATTATGTATAAGAAGACCGACCGCTGCTGCAAGAGCGCGGGAAAGACAAAACGAAACGAAAAAATTATACTCGACACATTATGCAAATCGCCGTCTTTTGTCTTGTTCATTTTACACCCCAAATATAATATATTATAATATAATGTACCTGCATGCAGCTTCGGCGTCTCGTCGCGTTGTTCCAGTGTCGGTGAGGTATTTTGTTTCTAATTCACGAACAGAGTGCACAGGACAGCACAGGTATTGGTAGGTAGGTATGTGTATAATAATATAATATTATAGGCGTGTATACGTCGCTAATTCACCGTGCCGTCCTCCTCGCAGTCGTCCCCGTCGGGTTTCACACGTTTTTCATCCCGCGTCTATAGGCTTTACATTTTAAGAACAATGCAATTATATTGCACCTGGACACTGCAGCGGCATTTGTTATTGTTATTATTACGTGCGTGCGTATATTATGTGCACTATTTCAGCGTATGCTCAAATATATGCATATTTTATATTTTTATATAGGTACCGAAACTGCCCCGAGCGTAAGACAAACCCCGCAGCGAATCTGTCACATAATAATATCTGAGTGCATGTCATTATTATATACGAAACACGCATACTATTATAACAAATGAGAGCGGCCACAACATGATGTAAGTAAAGCGGGGCGGTTACCCGGGAAAACCCTAAAATTTAATTAAGAAATTACGGATCAAATAATGAAGGTAGGTACGTTTTGTAACGAAACAACCACACGCCTACGTAAATAATTAGTGTGACGCCATCTATCGGCGAAACTACGCACACTGCTTTTATGCATAACCGTCATTTCAGTAAATATTATTTCTCTATTCATCAATATTTACTGACATTAATCTTATACATAATTAATAACTATTTGTTTCTATAAATTTAAAATCAGCCCCCCGTTCCAAAGTGGGTTTGGAAAAGAACATTTCTGAATGTTTACGATATGACCCGATACAATAAATTATTGAATCGTCAGACTACGACATCACTATGGACGAGCACTATACACAGCCCAAACTCAAGTCCGGAAAACATCTTAAACTTCAAGACAAATATACTACTCATAGCTAAAAAGATTAACCGACTTTCAAAAAATATTAATTAAGAAAGCTGCTTAATATATAGGTACCTCGAGAGTCGACTTTATCTTTGACACTGTAACTATTAAGGTGCCTGTACACTGTAGAGATAAATACAGCTAGATTTAGATTGCTCTAGCTAGACTGCACTAGAAGTGTGTTTACACTAGAGTGAAATGTGCTCTAATTATAGCAGTCATAGAGAGCGCATAGATCAAATCTACCTAGATAAGTCTACGGCCCATGTACATTAGTCAAACTTGATAGTCTAGATAGTTCTTTTATTGAGAGAGCATTTTGGCTGTTAGTTCGTTAGTTCACGCGTTTTCTTTGGACGAAAAATGTCGGATCGCAAACGCGTTGCAGCTGCAATTATAGTGTGTAGTTTGATTAAAAAAAAACAGGAAATAAAATCAAAAAAAACAAAGAGGTTGTGGGTGAGAAATTGGATATCAAAAAGAGATGACGAAGGAGTGCACGCAAAATTACTGAAAGAAATGAGTGTAGAAGATACCACTTCGTATGAAAATTTCATACGAATGTCCAAAAATGATTACCAGAATCTCTTAGAAATAATTACACCAAAAATTATAAAAAAAGATACTCACCTCCGAAAAGCGATTTCACCTTCAGAACGACTAACATTGACGTTGAGGTTTCTTGCCACAGGTAAACGGTTTGATAATTAAAAAAATGTATATATTTTATTTTGCTTATTTTTGTATCTTTTTATTATAGAATAATTTTAACATCATAAATTAATAAAATAACATATTATAACATTATATTATAACTTTCAATACATTTTAAATTAGAAATAAGATAAATATAAATATTAAAATAAAATAAAATTTACATCATATTTAATTTATGAAATATGCTACTTGTTTTAACGTAGGTGACAGTTACCAGTCTTTAAGTTTTTTGTTTCGGATTCCTCCGACAACTATTAGCCGAATTGTTCCAGAAGTTTGTCAGGCGTTGTTTGAAGAACTGAAATGTGACTATCTGAAGGTTAGTAATTTTACTGGGGATTATAGTTTTCATAGAAAGTTGACAAATTAGAACTGTCACTCGCTATTTGTTGAGGCATTGATGATAGGTTAGAAAGAGTTATTAAGTTGTCATGTGGATTTTGATTAGAAAAACCACTAGATGATGCCCAGTCAGAGACAGTATCAGAGTAATTTTCAGATGAACATGTAGAACCAATTTTTTCACATCTGTCTTCCTCTTCTCCCATATCAATGATAGCTCTCTGTATTATGCGCTTCAATCGTCTTCTTCGTTCTTCAGAACGGAGTTGTCGTAACTCCACAGCAACATAATTTCCAAAAACATCAAATTCATCACTCGGAGCTCTTAACACGGACATAGCTTCTTTAAATAACTCTTCGTCATCTTCGTTTATAGATTTTGATTCATTTCCCTTATATAGTTTTTTTT